CGGTCCAGTCCCCGGTCCTCTGCTAGGACCGGTCTTTGGGACTAAGACCGGACCGGGACGGACCGTAACATCCCTAACTCCGGAGGGCTTGTTACGACGTATGTTTTTTTATAATGCAGTAATATTAGCTTTGCGAGGGGGAGAACACCAAGATCTCTGAATTGATAATTTCATGAAACAGTTTGACGGCGGCATTGATGTAAAGTTATTTAAGTCAAAAACGAATCAACGAGGTATAGGAGATTACGATGCGCAAGCTGAAGTAATTAGCATACCCAACCATAAGAACATTATCGATGATTACGAATTTTATTTTATTAAACGTCCAGTGACGGCGAATAAGAATTTTTATTTAAAACCCATTCCTCTCAATACTGGTAAATACTTATTTTACATTTATGTATTCTAGTAGTTAATACTAATCTTTTTTGAAAGTCGAATTTAGTGGTCAGTGGTTTTATGGGCGTGCACTTGGTGAAAGAACGTTAAGAGACTATTTTCGATTTATATGCGAGACTACAAATATTCAAATCGGAAATCGTAGTATATCTAATCACTCAGGGAGAAAGACCGCAGTACAAGTGTTAAAAGGGCTTGGATGTTCAGATTCCGTGGTTATGTCAATCACGAGACACAGATCACAAAAAGGCTTATCTGCATATGAACGACCGAAATCAATTATGCAGCATGAAGGCCTCGGCGGATTCTTTAATGCACTTATAAAGAGTAGAGAAACACTATCACAAAGTATTTATTTAATTAACTTTTTTTTTTTTTATTAACTAACAATTTGTATTTTTTTTAGATAATGAAGTAACTGAAACACAAGTGGCGGCGAATGGATCTTCTAGTCCAAGTGGGGATTTTGTGATAGCAAGTTCTTATCTTAAACGGACTAATTCACTTGCATCACTCGCAAATGGCATGGATAATCTCGAATTCAATGAATTGGGTGAAAACGTTGATAAATCACCACAAGCCACCAATAAATCTTCACGAGATGCATTGGTTGAACTTGAGCAAAACGTCCTTCAAGAAAGTGGGCAAAAGAGTCAAAAAAAACAAAATAAAGAGTTTGCCGAAAAATTTTTAACAGGCAATACATTCAACAATTGTACATTTCATTTTTAGTTGTCTAAAATTAGGGAAAAATTGGATTTGTTAGTATCGTTTGAATTAAGATGCAATTAATGTAATTGAATTACTTAGCTTGAATATTTTTGCTGGCCCGTATAATTTAAAGTACTTTGTTCTGGCCTATACAATTTCAAATTCTAGTTTATAGTTTTGCCCTAATTGCATTAATCACGATATTTGCAAATATTTGGTATTACGTCATAATCGTCAAAAAAATATCAAGGCGTTGCTGCGCCATGATCATATGAGTTTGCCGGATAAAAAGATATTTTATTACAAAATAGTAAACTTAAAAATTTATTTAAAAAATTTCAAATAATAATATTTTACTTTTAAAATGCTAAATTTTTTATAAAACTTCAATTACAATTTTGTTAAGCATTTTTAAAATAAATTGAAATATTATATACCCTACTAACAACTAGACACATTCAAATCACATTATAATAAGATTGATAAATAAATTCATATACTATTCTTACACGTATTGCAATTACAGAAAAATTTTCTATACACAGATACCCAATTATCTGAATTGATTATCACTTTTTAAATCCCAAAAGTCCTAAACCTTGCTTAGCATAATTATGTCAATAAAACTAAAAAAAACTCTCAAATAGGTAATTTAATTTGCTTATAAAAGCACTACATGCGAGTTGGTCTAGGAAAATGTCGATTAGGAAATTAAAAGATTCGTAATTGGGGTATTATGATCAATCGGAGAATTTTCATAAATTTTCAGAATGATATTTCCTAGACCAGTCCTCATATACCCTTAGATTACAATTTATATATGATTTATCCAAAAAGTGCAATTGTCAAAAATTCACATGCAAATTTGGTGTAAAGAATAATTTGCTTATACGTAATAAATATACTTAGGATGCTCTCAAGCATCTCTCTCAGCATAATTAGCTAACTATAGAGATCTGGCATGGTAATTTTGTCGAAGAATTCATGTTGCGAAACGCATATATTATTTAACCAATCAGCACAGCTCTATGATACTGTAAAAAAAGATGGTCTCTGACTATCTTTTTTTTCATCGCGATAATGAACTCGCTTGACCGAATATTTTATTTTCCACTAATTAAAAATTGAACTCAGACCTATTGATTTAAATGATTGCAAACAGTTAATGGATTTTATCGATTGATCGATTGATTTCAAGTGATTATGGTGTTTTTGATGATCGATTTAAATAAATCCAATTAATAATAAATGATTATATAACGATAAAAAAAAGATTAAAGACAATTATATTAAATCGATTATAATCGATAGTTTCCATTTATATCAATTATTCTATAAAAATTTTCATGGCAGTTATAACGCTTTGTAAAAAGGTGTGGCTACATACATGATTTTGTATAATAATCGGGAAAAGGTTTTAAGATTTTAGAATGTATATTTTCGTTTAGAGATAGGCAAGATAATAATGTAAGTACAGTAATAATTTCTTATTCTTTATCCCAATACATATATATACATATTAATACTAATTATTCATTGCCCATGACGTACGTAATCAGGAAAGTAGACGGATTGTATTTTTGATTACATTACAATTGCTTATTTATTATTGCTTATTACGTAAATAATGTGGGAGATTAAAATGAAATGAGGGATAATGTAAAATAGACAAGCCACTGAAAAATACAAATTTTTTGGGGTACATTTTTTTTGGCTAGGATCAGGGTTTAGAAGCAGGTTTATAATAAACAAGTATAAGTGAGTTTTAGAGGGTCAAATAGAAACCCCTCAATTCATTTTAATCCGATTTCATTACATTTATTTGATTAAGTTTTTAAAATCTATAGAACTTTCCGATTCACACATGAATTTTTTTTGCAAAGCACAATAATCGTTGGTGGTGATGATAATCGATTAAATCATCAGATTTTAGTTGATTATAGTCGAGTCTCAAATTTCCCGATGGTGTTTTGGACTAGAAAAAAAGTTAGAAGCAATATTAAATATATAAATAAAGATTAGAAAGATTTTGTTTTAAATTACTGTACTAAATTTTTCTTTTAAAAAAATATTATTCTTTTATAGACCACTACTGAAATGAACATTGGTCAGTGCCTTTAGTCAGAGGTATGTACGTATGTATGTACGCACGTACATACGTTCATATGGCGCGACTATAATGGAAATTTTTAGTTTTAAACTACATATACTTATTAAGCTAGAATAAAATTGTTTGGGCTTATCCACATTGAGTTTTTTCGCATACGTACGACCGAATTGATTAGATAAATAGTACAGGTAAGCAAAAATTTAATATATTCAATTTTAGTAACGGTTAAATTTTTTGTGAAACAAATTTGATTAAATGATTGGTTCTAATACCTATATTAAAAAAAAATATTGGTTTTATTTTTTCATTATGTCATAATATTGCTATTTGGGTATTCCCATATTCCACTAAATCTAATTTATTAATTTTTAGGTCTTCAATTCCGAAGCTGGTTACATCAAGACTATTAATGATTCTAAACTATGATCTTTTTTTTTTAAACAGTACGTATTATGTAGCGTTTTCTGGTCGCACTCTGCTTAAAATTGAATGTTAAAAAAATTGAAATTCCTATAATACTTAATAATATTTTTTTTGACAATTGTAACGCTAAAAAAAAGACTAACCAAAATTTGAAATTTCGAAATTTCATAATAGTTCAACTGCACTATGGATAAATCTTGTTAGTCTGAGCCCCATGTGAGATGTCAAAACCAAATTTAGGTAATTTGTTCGGCAACCACATTACGACGCATTTAGTCAATATCCATTGGATACTCATGACGTATAATGGATTAAATAATGAGAAAGATGACATGCAACAGGGTACAAAAAATTTTTAGAGTTTAACATCAATTGATTTAAATATAATAATTTAGGTCACCAAATCTTTGGACTTGGCGACCGAATTTGCAAGCACGCTATAATGATTTAACGAAAAATTGAATAAGTAAAAAAAAAAAAAATTAGGACAAAAATTTGACAGAATCCACATATTCGGATTTTAGGCAATATTCGTCATTATTTATTCCTTATTTTTATTATAATTATCGTTTTGTAAAGTTTTGCCATATGTTCTACAGTTAGCTTTTCAATGCGAAGTGAACCCATTTCAGACATAAATTAATTACCGTTATTTCTCCATTTAGAGGTCGGCTAAAGCCTTGTGGAAATTCTATCTAAATCACGACATTCGATGCATCCAACATCCCGAAACCTAATTATCATGCCGCGTGATGTCTGGGTTCGAATATTAAAACTTCACTTTTAATTAGGTAATATATTTTACTAATCAAAATCGGAGTTTTAATATTCGAACCCGACATCACTCTATGTGATAATAGAATCATCACGCAAGGCTTTAGCGCATCTCAGGTTTTTTTTTGTGGGTGACGCAGAATAACGTCACCACAAGGCTTTAGCGTCTCCCTAAATTTAGCAGTAATCATTCTTCCTATTATTTAAGATGAATACTAATTGCATTAATGATTTATAAAATTACTATGCAGGTATAATGCAGACTTAGCACGTCCTATATAAAAAATCGGTTTATAAAATAGAGCGCAATTGAGCCGTAACTAATGACGTAAATAAGCTTGCATCTATATATTCAGGCTACTTAATACGTACGTAGAAGGCTTGAGAACTTGGGTGGGATTGTTTTTAGTAATTCTTAACATGGTTTTATATTAAATTTATACACAGCATGAACATAGCCTTCAGTTGATAATTGAGAAAATGATATAATTAATTCTTATTACCCATTTTTAAACGACTGTTGATGGTATATACTTACGTGTAATACTTGCATAACAAATATGGAAATAAACGATAATATATCATTTAAAGCTACCGATTAAAATGAAATTGAAATTTAGCGTCTTGTCAAAAAATTTTTTGGGGTGTATTTTTTTGAGGTTGATTAATATTTAGGGTTTAACGTTGGAGAATTATATAAATGGATTTTAGAGGCTTAAAAAGGA